TCTCTCTCACACACATACACACATTTAAACATGTCCTGGGGCAATGAACTGTGTCTCTTCACTTTTTTTCCCCCCTTCTAACTGAAACCTCATGTGTTTTGCTGTGAGTCATCCCTTGGGGAGGGTGTGCTTATTCCCATCACTCTTGAGAAAGCACTGTGGAATGAATATTGAAAATGACAGGAAAAATGAATAAAAGAGAAAAATAACACTGTAGTGAGTGCAATAGATGGAGACATTTATTTCTATTTGTGGAATGGAAAAATTCTTAAATTAAATTAAAATGTGTATCCTCTTAGCATACATCATTTGTGAGAATGAGTTTTATGAGGTTTTAATAATAATAAATGCACTTGCCCCAAACAACTAAACAACTCTTATACCAATTTTTTTCCCACTCAGAACTTTAGCTAAATTTAAGCATAGCTCCCTCCAAGAATTTGGAGTGTGTTATGTAGGAGTCAGCTGTCAGCCTTATCCTGGATGCAGCAGAGAGACTACAAACCCCGAGAAGAGACACCTGTCTAGGTACTTTTATTATTTTGAGATGCTAAGTCAATATTTATGGAAGCCCATTTCCGTCAGGAAAAAAAAAGAGAGGTAAAAAAGGTCATAATTATTATCTCTTAATTTCGACTTACTTACTTACTAAGTATTATTTTTTGGAGGCTTTTATTGCCTTTAATGAAAGAGCACTAGAAAAAAGGAAAAACGGGGGCACGAGAGCAAGGGATGACATGCAGCAAAGGGCTGCAGGTCGGATTGGAACCCTAGGCCGCTGCAGCAAGGACTCAGCCTCGGTACATGGGTCGCCAGCTCATGTAAAAATAAGAGACATTCCAGAAAACATGACACCACAGCACAGAAAACAGCATTTTAGAGTGAAAAAGCCTATACATCGAAGGAAACACAAAATATTACCCAAAAAGTTCTCAATTAAAACAAAACAGCATTAAAAACACAGCAGCTTCCTCTCCCAAAACTACACTGAACATTGCGTGTATAATGACGTCAACGCGGCACCTGTGCCAATACGCCTGCGCAGATTAACCAGGAAGAGCAAGGTTTGGTTGTTTGGTTGTTTGGTTGCTGTTTGTTTGATGGTTTGCCTTAAAAGAGTGCTTCAGTTATGTGTCGGAAGAGAGGAACCTAACAAGTAAGTCAGTTCCATATCTCGTCGTTAGTGTTCTCAGTAATATATGTAAAAATAAAGATAGACACAGTAGCGTTGCCTTTATCTGAGGTGTTTAGAAACATGGCGGTTGTGGTGCAAATGATGCTATTAGCTCCGAGCCCACTGGTACAGTTCGGTTCAGTTGTCCTGTTTGTGAGCACACCAACTCACGGTGTGTCCCTAACAACAAGTGTTACTGTTGTACTTCTGTAGTGAGTATCTCAAGCACATTACAACATTGTCAGAGATAGTCTCTGGCTGCCCGAATCGAATCATCACCTCTGGTTCAGTATCATTTTCCTTTCGGTCTTTTAGTGTCTTTCTATAATGTCCACTCTTAAAAGGGCAGTATGTCTTCAAATGTGCTTTTCCCTACCATTTAAACTGAGACTGCGTTATTACATACTTTATAGACGTTATGAATAGAAGGCTTTAATGTCTTTTTTTCAGTCAAAAGTGAACAATCGTAAAGAAAAAAAGGCAGTATTTAGGACTGGTCAGTAAAGTGTCACAATAAATGACAGACCCACAAAAACGTATAAATAAGTGAATGAAATCAATAAGAATTAAAATACATGCCCAGATACATCTGTATGTCTCCCTGCAGAGTTTGAGTGATTATTGGCATTAGTAAATGTTAATAATAATAATAATAATAATAATAATAGTAACAGGTAAAGTATTTTTATAGATATTGAAATTTGCATATTACTTGGCTATATTTCGAATTTACTTTATGAAGCACTTTTCAAGCCCAAGCCCTGCTTTCCAGATTAAAAGATATACAGAACAAAAATTAAAATCAGAAACCCATGTAAGTCACCCCCCATATAAGAATATGAGGACTTAATCTGGCAGCACTGAGTAGCACTGAGCTCAGTCTTAACAGGCACTGTGGATAGATCCCATTCAGATCAGTCCTCATCATTTAAAGAGAGGACTACTGCACTTCAGTGGCAGAAGATGCTTTCTCTTTATACTTGTTGTCTCCTGTTGTCACAAGAAAACAATAGTTGATGTCTCGATAACGAGATAATAAATAATAATAAATCTGGAGATAACTGCATTAAAAAACAATTGCAAGTTGGAACCAAAACCTTTTTCTGCTTGAGAATTGATATGTAGTTATGTTCAATTGTCTGGCCTTGCAGCCGTGGTATTATATCAGCAGAGCACTGGAGTTTTGTGTTGTCTGCTTAACAGTTTTCTGACTTCAAAAGTGAGTAAAAGTAAAAGTGAGTGGAGACAAAGGGTTCTGTGTATGTGCCTGTCTGATCATCCATCGGAAGATTGTTCTAAACACCCAGAAGGAGTGAGAGAAGGACAGGACAGCAGTGTGAGGAGGTTGTGTGGTGCTGTGGGGCAGAAGATAAGAGCTAAATACACCAGTAAGTACAGTGAGTCGTTCCTGTTATTCAGCCTGCCCTCATTAATACAAACGTGGGGGAAACAAACAATTGAAACACCTGTCAGTGTAATGTGATACAATTCAGCAGCACCACAAACTACATCTCTCTAAAACTGAACATTCTAACCCTCATGAAGAGAGGATTTATAGAGAACTATCAAGGAGGCTTGAGGACGTTAAATGTTCCACTAATTGGCTCTGATCTAATGTTGGTATCGGGTGACGATACTCGCGGTTACATATCAGACTGGCGTCATGTCGAAGTATCCTTGAGC